CTTAGCACATGCATTAATAATGCCCTATTCCCTAAACATGTGTAATTGCTGATATATTCTCATGAATAGGCCAACCAATGTGTATTTGTTTTCTAAATAAAGATGAATATTTTGAACATTCAATGAATTGACAGCACTTCCACTTACGATTTACTTTAGCTATTTAATTTTATTTATTTGTATTACAATTAATTCACTTTAAATCAATAAAAGTATAAAATTATAGGATTAACAGGAATTATAGTTGCTCAACACCACAGGAACAGTTTAAAAAAAGTCTAAAAAAAAAGTCTAAACTCACAACTCCAGAGGTTCACGAAATGAGAAGCTGCACTGTCATGACAACAATGAAAAAGTTGACATCAACCTAGTCAGCAGGTCACGTGGGAGTGGCAACCAGTCTTGATGAAGTTCACTTTCTACATGAACTAGTTCAAAGTTCAGTTCACACATTTTAAAATGAACTAGTTAAGTTCAAGTTTACACAGAAATGTAACATTTTTCCCATCTTCACCGACCTCGTTATAAAATCCGTTTAAATTATCATACGACGCCTTTGTCGACGGCTGGTGGTTTGTGTTGCCAGATTTGGTGTTTTTTCGCTACATATTGAGCCCTGTTTACGGTGAGTTTTAGCAGGGTGTTCGCCTGGAAGGCTCTATAGAAATCTGGCACCCCATTGAATGAAGTTAAACTGAGAGAGCGTGCGTTCACAGACACCAGAATGAACGAGTTCACACGTTCATCAGGACAGGCAGTTAAAAAATACGTTCAGTTCACCCAAAATATGAACAAGTTCATGAACGTGAACGTGTTCAGGCACAACGTTTGGCTGCCTGCGTCTCGAGGATAAAGAGTGACCGACTTTTTTTTGAGCAAGCATTGATTATGCGTGACGCGGTCTCAATTTGCGGGACGCATGAATTGGGCTTCAAACGCTGTGCGCGCACGCGCTACGCGGGACGGGTGGTCACCCTAGCATTGCTATGCGCTTGCTGAGGTGTTCTTATTTGACTGTTGGTGTGTCGTTACGCTGTTGCTGATGTACTTATTGAACTTACGACAATCCCACAGACTTCCAACGGAACCGAGAAATTGTTCCAAACACTAAAGTTCCTGCATCGAAACCCATTTATTTCAGTGTTTCTCAAGCAGACGTGCAAGTAAGCCATTAAAGACATTTTAACACATTAGCCCGTGTGTCCACCAAAGTGTTTTTTCCACGCGCCTGGCATGTTTTTAATTGTTTCAATGGGAGCGCCGCGTTTTTTTTAAACAGCATGAGCATAACGCGGCGCTGAGCGTTTTTTGTTCACGCTGAAACACTGCTCGCTGAGAGTTGAAAAATGTTCAACTTTGGATAAAACGCGGCGCTCATCACTATCACTCTTTACCCAGCCGTCCAATCACAGTGGAGGAGGGGCGGGGCTAATACCACACTGACCAACTGTCACAACATTCTTTCTGTGCAACGACATCAACCAGCAGAGCTAACCGAACAAAATGGGTGAAAAAAAAAAAAAATTGAGTATGAAACAAATTATCTGCGAAATCAGTTACAAGTAAATTGTAATAGCAACAAAACGTCTCACCGAAAAAAAACCAAAAAAAAAAACCGCTGCACTGCCAAAACGCTCTCAAGCGCCCAAAGCACAGTGTCTTCAGCAGAGCATCTAGCGTTTTCAGCAGGCTAAAAACACTTTGGTGGACACACGGCCTTAGTTCACTTCAAGCCAGTAGTGTATTAATAGTTAGACTATAATTGAAGTTAAATTATGTGAGCAATACTTCAATAGATACCATAACCAAATTCTAGTTGTCATATTTCAATGATTTTAGTCTTTTCGATATCTGCTTGTATGAGGTCGAATGAGTTTATGAAGACTGCATATTCAAGGAATGATCTAGCGCCTCACTGGATATATATATATATATATATATATATATAGCTGTAATATAATATATATAACAGCTTTACTCATTCAACCCACTAAAATAATAAGATAAAATAAAACAAAATCTAAAATGAGAAAATATTAATTCTACTAATTGTTATTGCTGGTCTGAGGCGGCAGGTATCAGGAATTGCTTCAAATAATAGTGAAGTCTATCCTGCTTAAACACTTTCAAAGAGATTGACACTATTGAGAGCTCCATGAACCATGTGACCATGTGGCAGCAAGATCAAAGCATCTCGCCACGACTCATTGCATTGCAACTGCGTTGCTATGCGGTTGCTACAGTGTTCATATTGGTTTGTAATTTGTATCTATGTGGTTGCTAATGGTGTTCTGATTGTATAAACGGTTAAATAAAAGTAGCAGAAATCAAAATAAATGTATTCATAAGGTAAATATATGTGTTGTCTCTTAATAAAGCAAATGTAACCGGTAATGACAGGCCTCACTCTTCACGGTTTATCAGAAATACCAACCCATACACAAACAAAAAGCAGTTTGCATGTCAATAGATAAAGCTAATGGACATGGCAGAGAAACAATACAAAGTCCCAAGTGGAATTTATGCCCGACTAAGATGCCAAAATGAAACACAAGCATTGTTCTTTCCGCTCCTTTTTCATTATGTTCATTCCTTAGACACTATAGCACACAGCCATCTTTCTGTCACACAGCAGTAAACAAATGTTAGGAGAGTTGAGTATTTATTAATTCAAAATAGACAAAAGCCAGTCCCTGGTTCAAAGGAAAACAAAACAAGCCAAAAGAGAAGCTTCCTTGCATTTCCTCCTACCTCTAAACCCCCAGCCATGATCAGTTACGCTCTTGGAACTCATTGAATATGCGTTGTGACATTACCGTGTTTATTTATTTATTGTTTTATTATGCTAATCAGTTTTTGCTGGTATTTTGGCTCATTGTCCTGATTAAGACGTCTTACGCAAACCGCTCTGAAGAGTATGCAAAGCAGACCCCGCTAAAGGTGGCGAAGTATTCATCTGTGCCGCAAGTCATGTTTGCTGATATGTTGTAGCCTTGAGCATCATTGTAATTTTTTTTTTGTCTTTGTTTCTCCTAGTTCTCTTGGTAAATTCACATTTACCTGCCTGATAATGAAACCACTATTGAATGAACTCCTGTGCTAGGAAACCTGACTGTAGTTTGACATAAATAGTTAAGCAAATGCTAAATATAATGTCATTTCCTTCCACTTCCAGTGACATATAGGATGTATCAGGTGATTTGTTCCATTAAACTGGGTAAAGTGTGGAGGGCACTTGTTCATACTTCCTTAGAGGGAAAATCCTCTTTAAATGTTAAATAAAGTGAGCTGTTCAAATCATGCACCACATGTCAGGGGACGAAGCCATCTGTTATAAGATGAATTTGGCCCAAAATGAAGCCCTAATCACTACTAAGAAGGAACTTCACTTTAGGAGATTTGTTTAGTCTCTTGTAGAGCATGTAGAGTGTTTGAAAAAAGGCGGTGACAGTGACACAGTGGCAAGACCCATCAGCGATGAGCCTTGCTAATGTGAAATAATATTCATACTAAAATGTCTCATTTTACTTGATAAGTGTGTGGAAAGATCAGGTCGGGTTACAATCTGCTAAGGCGATGTTCTGTGGAAGACTAAGGCACTTTTCTGCATGAAAATTAGATTTCAGCTTCAAGTTGTGTTGCATGCTCGGAAATGCACCAATGAATATGAATGGTTTGTGATTAAAGATCACTGTCAGTGTGCACATGTCTTCCACCAAAATGTGTGCATCATGCTAAAAACCAATTTTTACCTGATGACAGATTTATGTTCATGCAATACAACAGAAAAATTACATTATGTGACCTGTCAGCGGCATTATTATTAAAATTAATGGCAAAGTAACACTGTCTCTATTGCCTTGTGTCTGGATTCCATCGCTTCTAATATGCGCTGCTGTATTTTCCATAAACACATGACGATTTTAAAATGTTATCATGCAACTATTTATATACTGAGTGCTTTTTTGGAGTAACAAACAAAAACAGAATCTACAGAGTGAATTATATTTGCTTAACAGTTCAAAGAAAACACAAGGACCCAACAAAATGTAATTGCATGTACCCAGGTTTTATGCACATATGTTTCTACATGATTAGTGAATGAAACCCATTTGTTGATTATGTTTGACTGTTCTTACTCAAGAGGATTTGTCTTAGATCTCAAATCAGTGAGTTTTTGATATTACGTACAATGGGTAAGCTGTCACTATTTATGTTTTCTTGCTTAACTATCTTGGTAAGTCGTGGTACAAACCCAAATTTGGGTCAAAAATGGACAAACCCAAATATTGGTTTAAAAATGTAATTAAAAAATGTATAGTTGAAAGTGAAAGTTGAAGTTGGGTTAAAATTTTAACTAACATTTTTAACCCAACATTCGGGTTTGTCCTTATTTTACCCAATTTTGGGTTAAAACAACCCACCACCCTTTTTTTTTTTTTTTTTTTTTTTTGGAAATAGGCTCATTTTACAACTCCCCCAGAGTTAAAAAGTTTTACCTTTTTCAAATGCATTCAGTCGATTTTCTGATATTTAGAAGAATATCAGTAACCAGACAGTTTCTGGTCTCATTGACTTCCATAGTAGGAAAAAAAATATACTATGGAAGTCAATGAGACCAGAAACCGTCTGGTTACTGATATTCTTCTAAATATCAGAAAATCGGCTGTATGGATTCGAAAATGTTGAAACCCAACTGTTTAACTCTGAGGGAGTTGTAAAATGAGCCTATTTCCAAAAAAAAGTGGAGTATCCCTTTAAGCAACGTTAAAACATTGAGTCTCTGAGTTCCTTTAATATAGGACAGAATATGTTAATTAATTTAGGCAAACGGATATGAGCTGTGGGTTTGGATTAAACAAATTAAAGGAAAGGCAGACAGCTCCCATGGCAGAGGGGACTGGGCTTTGGCTCAGGATGACTTCTGAAAGCTGTTACGGTCATTAAGTTGCAGTTGAAATGCAATCATACTTCTCCTTGATCAAAGAACTTTTTCTTACCTTTCCAACGTACTGTGGGTCCGAGCCCATGTACTCCTCAAGCACGAAGAACTGGTTCCACACCCAGCCCCTCTTGACCCTCTGGAATCCTCTGGAACCTCCATGCGTTCCTGCCGCCGATGGCCCCGTCTGGCTGTGGGACCACTCTTGCCCTGGCCTGCTTTGGAAGGGAGCGCAGGAGCTCTGCTCAAAGAGGAAGCACAGGAACAGCAGCAGGCAGTTCCTCCTCAGCATTGGGCGGACTGTTATGGCGCTGTTCCCAGGTCAAGGTCCAGAGGAAAAAGGCGAGAGACAAGAGATCCAGGGCTCCGAGGCTCACAAGCTGGAGCGTGAATCCAGTAGAGAGGAGGTCAGGGGCCCAGTGCTCTTCCACTCCCCTCGCTGGAAATTTGACTCAAGTCACCCAGGTAATAAATTCATCACCTGCAATTGAAAAAAAAAAGAAGAGAAATCAGTTTTGTGGCTATGCAGAAAATTTAGTTTGTTTTTTAATGCGGTATACCTACAATAAACATTTTGTGGAATATCTAGTCATCTAGAGAGACCAGTGACCCTGTTTTGACCCCTGTTTGGCATCTGAAAAGATGAAAGCACAGTGAAAGCATGGGGACATAAATGCTTAATGTATCCTCTCAGAGTCTCTATTGCTGCTGTGGGATGCTGTCTTTCTATTAATACTGCCATACATTCACAGCATGTCCATTCTTAGAGAGATCTGGAATTGCATAGCGAATAGCTGTCATAGTGGATATACATGCAGGCCACTTCTTTTTTTGTGCCTTGAGAAGAAAAGAATAAAGTTTTTTCCTTGGATTTAAAATCAGTTCTCGAATTGAGGTACACTCAGTATTGAGGATTTGGGGTGCAATATCAATATTTCGGACTGAGGTGCCCTTGAGCAAGGCATCTAACCTCCCAATCGCTCCCCATGTGCCACAGCACAATGGCTGTCCACTGCTCCGGATGTGTGTGTTTTCAGCCTGTTCTCACGTAAATGCTTCTCTATAACACGCATTGTGTATTGTCATGTAATTTATTCACGAAAATGAGTTTTTACATGCGCAGTTTTTCGCATGCATTTGATATGCATTTCATTTGCGTGTAATACACACGCACTCCACACCACTATTTCTACCCAAACGTATAATACACACGCACCCCACCCAACACCTAAACCTACCCAAACCAATCAATGTGTATCATATGCATGTAAAAACTCACTTTAGTGTATAAATTACACAACAATACACATGCGTGCTATAAAGACGCATTTAGTGTGATCGGGTTGGTGTGTTTGTGTGTGTGTGTGTGTGTGTTCATTACTTTGCTCCTAATGTGTGTGCACTAACTTGGATGGGTTAAATACAGAGGACAAATTCCTACCATATGTGACCTTCACATGTGTTTCACTTCCAATATTATATAAATACACTCTCAGAAAAAAAGGTACAAAAGCTATCACTGGGGCTGTACCTTTTCAAAAGGTACACTTTTGTACATATTAGCACCTGAAATTTACATATTGGCACCTAAAATGTACATATTAACATGTACTTATTGGCACCTACAATTTACATATTACAACCTAAAATGGACATATTAGCTCCTGAAATGGACATATGAGCACCTAAAATGTATTAGCACTTAAAATGTACATATTACAACCTAAAATGTCTAAACAATGTATTAGCTCCTGAAATGTACATATGAGCACATAAAATGTACACATTGACACCTAAAATGTACTTATTAACACCTAAAATGTACTTATTAGCACCTTAAATGCACATATTAACACCTAAATGGACATGTTAACACTTAAAATGTATATATCAGCACCTAAAATGTAGATATTAGCACTTGAAATATACATATTAGCACCTAAAATTGACCAAAGTTTACCTTTTGAAAAGGTACAGCCCCAGTGACAGCTTTTGTACTTTTTTTTCTGAGAGTGTAACTACATAAATGTTTTGAAAATTCAATATGAATAGATCTTTCATTAAATGTGTGTGCTTACCAATTGCTACAATTTAAAACAACTCTTTTCTATTTTAATATATTTTAAAATGTATTCCTGTGATACACATGATCCTTCAGAAGTCATTCTAAAAAGATGATTAGGTGCTCAAGAAACATTTCTTATTATTATACATGTTGGAAACAGTTTTTACACCATTCAGAATATTGAGAACTTGAGCACCAGATCAGCATATAATGATTTCTGAAGGATCATCCGACACTGCAGACTGGAGCCATGATGCTAAAAATGCAGCTTTGCCATCACTGAAATAAATTACATTTTAAAATACACTCAAATAGAAAAAGATGATAACATGCTCCAGTTGAAATTCCACTATAGCATTGAATAGTTGATTAATGTAGTGTTCACATTAATAACAGCAGTAATGGATTAACATCACTTGTTAATCATATATGGCTTAGATAAATATTTGTTTTAGTAGTAATAGTGTTAGAGTTGCGCAGATACAATCATATAGATAGATAGAGCAATATTTGTAGACATTATTGTGCTTTTTTTTATCAATAGTTTTATTTTGTGCATCCACATCATGTCCAACAGATCGATTGAAGAAGCAAGTCGTCCAAATAAGCACAGATATCCACTCTGTTATGGACACGCTGGGTGTGTTTAATGCGGTTTCAGTCACAATTCAATTTATGATGTTGTGATGCATTGCAGTGCATTGGATTTATACTGATCATATATTTGAAGGTCGTATACCCAGTCTAAGTAGATAACCCAGTCCTAAAGAGTGTTGAAAAAAAAAGGTAAAGGGCTGATTGTTGGTAATTTAGAACTTGAATGTGACTTATAGCATGCTCTGATAATAACTATACAGTTTTTCTGTCACTTTCACACCCGCACACACTTGTCACTACGTACAGTTCAATAGGAAAGTGTATAGAGAACATTTATCTGTGAATCATTATCATATCATGTTAAGAATAACCTTTGTCACTTTGTTAGCAAAAAGCAATTCCATTAAAGTCAGCAATTTTGCACAGAAGCTGTCACAAGGAGCAGCTTGCAATTATTGCTCAGATCCATCAAGGATTGTAACGAGCTTGTGGTTATCTGAGCATCTCTGCCTAGAAACGCGTTCAGCAAGATATGTCAGGTTCCTAAATTAACATGATTAGATGGTAATTTAATCTAACTGTTAGTTTCTCTGAGAATGGGACAAAGCATTTTCCCTTTGTTCAAAAACAAAAAAACAGCAAATAAACCTTTCAGTGTGGATTTGGGTGACACTAAACCATAATTGAGATGCAATGGACCATGGTACATCCAAGAGCAGAGACAAATCCTGTAACCATAATTATTGGGGACCGTCATATCTTCAGATATTGATGCCATATGCAGTTTAGCTGGACTGATCACTGTTTGAGATCAGTTAAAACAAATTTGTGGAGAAGCTGAGAAAATGTCCTTGTTTAAGAAGAACCAGAATAGGAACTTGTAAGGAAATATACTTACACTAACAGTTTGGTGTCTGTGAGATCGTTTAGTATCTAGTGTTTATTTGATCATTGAAAATACAATAAAACACTAATATTACAAAATACTATTACAATAAATATATAAATAAAAATATATAATAAAAAAAAAATATAAAAATATAAATATATAAAAAAATATATAAAATAAATAAAATAGCTATTATTTATTACTATGATGACAAAGCAGAGTTTTCAGCATTATTACTCATGTCTACAGTGCCACATGATCCTTCAGAAATCAATCTAATGTGATGATTTGGTGCCCAAGAAACATTTCCTTTATTACTATAGATGTTGAGAACAGTTGTGCTTGTAAAAGATTTATTAAAAATAGAAATATTATGTAATATAAAACATGTATTTCTGATCTGTATCGCTGATCGCATGCTTGTATAATGGTTTATAGCAATTGTGTGTGTGTGTGTGTGTGTGTGTGTGTGTGTATATATATATATATATATATATATATAGGGCTGGGCAACGATAATACATAATTATTTACATAACGATTTACATAATATATGTGTGTACAGTGTATAATTATTTTGTATATAAAAATTCACACACATGCATGTATAATATATATTTCAGAAAAAAATGTGTTATTAATACATAAAATATTAATATTTAATATAAATTATACATGCAAATATTTATTAAATATATACATGCATGTGTGTGTGTTTATATATACAAAATAATTATACACACTACACACATGCACATATATTATATAAACACAAACTTTTACTTTGGATGCGATTAATCGTTGCTATATATATATATATATATATATATATATATACACACATAAACACAATTGTTATATACCATTGTTAAAGCCCCTGTACCCCCTGTTAGCAATTATTTTATTCCTTAAAACTCATCTTTGATCATCAAAATGTTGTTTACTTATATATATATATATATATATATATATATATATATATATATATATATATATATATATATATATATATTTCCATGCCATAAAATAGCTTGATTGTAATCACGTTGTCTCATGTAGAATAAATTATAAATGTGCAGAGTAGCCCTGCCTCCACTCACTCAGAGATCAGAGATCCACTCATTGATGATCACACGATGACATGATTGGTTACAAGGTAGTTTGCGACATCAGAAAACCAACGATTTGAGACTGTCTCTACATTTAATGCTGTGGTTCTAATGCAGTTCCAAGAGTTTCAGTAGCCATCCTCTACCTCCTGATGCGATGCCGTAACAGATGTTTGTACATCACTGCGAGCCTGTGTTCAACACCTCGTCAATCTTGTAAATCCAATTCACTCATAAGATTTGAAACATTTTCAGTTTCGCTAGCTCTCACACCACCTGATTCGTCCCAATGCCAACCCAATGATGCTCCGATTTGCCTGAGTGCATCTCGCCTCTCCTGTGTGCTTCATTGGCTGCGGGATTGATCACTAGCTTTTTGTGCCCAGGTCAATGTGCTTATCAGTTTGCCAGCGCTGAACCCCACCTGCTACCACCCACTGGTAGTTTGGCAGCATTCACGTGCATCAAGTGTAAACAGTAAGCCAAGCCTGCCAGGCTTTTCAGTTAGCTCACAATAGATCTGGAGGTGCTGGCACACCAAGAGTGGTCGGAGGAGGCCAGAGAAAGGAGTAGCTCTTAAAGCCTGCCAGACTTGATCCTCCTGCAGGGGAGGTGTTGATGGAAAAGCAGTTGACTTCTTATCCCTGGATGCTCTCAACGAAACAGCCTTTTTCAAAGCCAAAAAAAAAAAAAAAAAAAAAAAATCAAAGAGACACTTCAGACTGGTTCATATAGAGCGAGATACGGCTGGTGAAATTGAACCTGCCTGTTTTAATCAAGAAGCAAACGTGAAAATGATTCAGAGTCATAAATTTAAGCGA